TGATGTTCATGCTGTTCCAATGCTAATTTTTTGTAGCATACTTTCAGGCTCTTAAGGATTTATACACACATTTGACACCCATTCAACGCCTGAATATTGCTCGGCATCCAAATAGACCAACTGTTCTTGATCATATCTTTAATATAACAGATAAGGTACACCACTAGCTTTTGTCATCATTTTGTCATTTTAACTGTACTCCCATCTAAAGCACATACACTCTACCCATTTTGATTTTTCGTAAAGTGGGTGGAACTCCATGGAGACCGTGCAGGCTATGATGATCCAGCCATTGTGACTGGTATTGGGAGCGTAGATGGTAAAAGCTACCTGTTCATAGGCCATCAGAAAGGTAGGAATACAAAGGAAAACATTGCGCGCAACTTTGCAATGCCAACTCCCCATGGGTATGTTTCAAATATCATCCACTGGACAAGCTAATTATTATTCAACGTGCACAGGCTTTCAGCTGCTTCATTTACTTGACAAAACTATAGTAATTATGATTGTTGATCATTTCTACATATAAGATTGTTATGTATTCATGACTTCAGGGTGGGACAGCTTTTTGTTTTTTCTAGGCTTCAACCCAGTACAAGAAGCCATTTTCCCATGGATTAAGGGCCTCACGACAATATGTGTCATTCAGTTTGTAGAGGCCACACTATGTAGTCCCATTGATTTTAGTTCAATTTTTAAAATTTCTGCAAATTACTAGCAGCCCCTCATTTGAATTCTCTAAGAAAACTTACTGAGAGATTGATGCATACAGCTACAGAAAGGCTCTGCGTATGATGAAATATGCTGATCATCATGGTTTACCCATTGTTACGTTTATTGACACTCCAGGGGCTTTTGCTGATTTGAAATCTGAGGAACTGGGTCAGGTGCGTTAGATACTGTTTGCCTTGCCTTGTGGATTCTGCCATCCTTAGTTTTATTTGGACATTCAGCAATATGTACAAAAGTCTGCATTCAACTTTACGCAGGGAGAAGCTATAGCCCATAATTTGAGGACTATGTTTGGCCTGAAAGTTCCAATAATAACAGTTGTCACTGGTGAAGGTGGTTCAGGTGGTGCTCTTGCCATTGGTTGTGCCAATAAGTTGTTTATGCTGCAAATGATTATCGATGCTGGTGCTTATCCTTCGCCTCTTGGGTATGGACTCTTTCCAAAGAGTGTATGCACATCAGTCAATGAGTGCATGTGCCATGGAATACCTGATTCTCGCCAGCTACAGGTTTTGTATGCTACCATTGCTTTTTTCGCTTCCCCCAGTAGGCACCTTTCCCAAAAAATGACCCTCTCCTGTGCAGGATGGCGACATAATAAACATTGATGTGACAGTCTACTTAAATGTAAGTTGTTGAGTTTTTTTTAAGCTTTCCCCATTTTTTAAATTCTTTGGACTTATGAATTGTAGTTTGTTTTGCTGGCTAGGTTCGTGTTAATGGATACCCAAGTGTTGGTGTTCTTGACTATTGATTTGACAGTTTTCTTATCCTTACTCTTAATTATGTATTCAGTCTGTTTCCTTACTTTATTTGCTGTTGTCATCAACTCGCTCTAAGTTCCAAATTAACTTGATGGTACAATGTAAATTGAAATGTTAGATGTCTGAACTCTAGTACCAGAACTTCAATAGTCATTTCTCTACATAGTTGGTGTCCTATTGCTGTTTCTTGATCCTTGAGTTCAATAATCTAGCCACTTGTAACATCCACCTGTCAATAGACCTCAGCATGTAGATCATATAGGATAAATTAAAAATAGAAGGACAGCATGTTGACCAAACCATTAGGGGAAAAATAAACTCAAAAGGAAAACTGAGTGAATTTGTTGTCACACAAGTTATGGAATATGCCTCTTTTTTATACTTTCTCATTCTTTTCTTTTCTCTCTGTTCTAATTTTTCTAATGCTATGAAATTTGTTTCACATGTTTATGTTCCAATTATTAAAGGCAGATTAATATCAGTCCACACTATTATATCTTTGTGTTGCATGCATAATTTTCTAATAAACCACAAAGAAAATGTATTTTTAGGAATTCAAAGATCGGTATATTTCCTATCAACAAAATGCATTCATTTATCTAAAAACAATACTAAAAATGTTGATTTTCAAATGAATTATACAGCTCTTTTCCAAATATCTTGTGTCAAAACTGAAAAGTGTTCAAAATATATTTTTTCCTTTTGAACTCAACTTCTGACTTTTGTACCCTATGGGTTT